GTCAGAGTCACTGAAATGTTCTCCTTGATTTCACCAGAGGGACGCATTGACACAGAGGGAGGCTTTGGAGCATCTGCAGGAGAAAACAAAGGGACTCAATATCATCATATAATATACTTCAAAGTTTGAATTATCAATCAGATAATGATGAAATCTCAGCCACATCATTTAGTTGATTAGCAAACAACATTATTTACCCCAGCATCTTAAATAGGACACTATAGACAATGTGAATCAAAATGAATGTCATGATTTGAAAATCTCAAACACTGACAACCATGACGCCCTGTTTTACTCACATTTCACATCAACAGAAATGTTTGTAGGTGTTGATGTTCCCAGCCTGTTCTCAGCTGTGCAGTAATACTCTCCAGAGTCAGCAGGCTGGATGGACTCGAAGGAGAGCTGTGAATCTGTACTGACAGGTGTTTGATTGTTCATCTTGTGCCAGACATACGTAGCTGCTGGGTTAGCATCACTGCTACAGGTCAGAGTCACTGAAGTGCCCTCCTTGATCTCACCAGAAGGACTCACTGACACAGAGGGAGGCTTTGGAGCATCTGGAGGTGAAAACACAGGGAGGAAACTGTAGTTTGAATTTCTGACCAAATCAACTGTGTAAGTGTACACTGAGAGGAGTGACAAGTTCTGGATGGTGTTAGCAGGAACACATGAAGATATTCCCATAACATATACTATCAGAGTTTGCCTTACTAATGATAAACAACAAACTATTGGAACAAATATCCAATTCTGAAAACAATAATGATTGCCTTATAATGGAGGTTTTCTTGACCAGATGTAACTGGGTAAGAAGCAGGATACAGGCAATAAAGGCAGACCCTATCACAGCACAAATTTAGACTCAAACATCTGCATCTTTATCAACAGTTCAACTAATAAGCAGGTTTTTGGACTCTGACAAAACTATGCAGATTTCACAGAAAGGCTTTGACTGACCAGGAAGTTTCAACCCAGAAATGAGAAACAGCCTCTTCGCATTTCCTGCTCTCAGCCAGGTCAGCTAGTTTAGAACAGAGCCAGACATATTTCTGGCATATTTCTTTAGACCAGAATACACACGCACATGGATGTTGTTGAGCAATCAGAGTGTTTCTGCCTGCGCATTAATTGCTGGATATTGCAGGATCCAGCAATTTTATGCTTTCATGTTTAGAAACTTAAGTCAGCAATAACCATCGAGTGCCGAGTGTCTCTCTCTCACTCTTCTCTCTCCCCAGGACACAGCTCTTGTTCATTGGCCTCGTTTACCACCTGGGCCCAGTCAGCAATCTCCTCTCTGAGGTTATATAATCTGGAGATAAACTGTATGTGTGGTGGATTTTCCCCTGTGGCTCTACACCATTTCTCTAGGTGTTGGAAAGGGTCCTTTGTGTGTCTTTCATGCCTGTGGTGAGGAGTTAAGTTGAGTGAGTAGACGGGCTTGTGGGCCCCAGAAGTGTCTCCTTTATTTGTT